TGTGAGGCCGAACTTGCGCCTTGCTGTAGGATTATTAAACGTCACTACTTTATTTCCTTCTTCTCGTCGTACGCCGACCTCACACGGCAGAATTATCTGCATAAATTTTATGAGTTTATAAGACCTTTATCTCGTACAGTCACCCTTGCTACATTTCTGTTAAACTCTTTACAATATTGGCGTAACATCTATGTTTATTATCACGAACTTTCTTTCATTATTAAGGTACCTACCTACATGAAAAACAAAAACATGTTTTACAAGCTAGAAAAGATGCCGTACTACATCTTTTTGTTTTATCTAAAATATATTTTTTAAATAATATACTTTTTTTTTAGCAGTTGAGCTGCCAGCAATGGATAAAATGCAAAAATATTGTCTTATACCTTTAAACACATTAAATATAATTCACATAGACCATGTGAATTAGCATATGTTAAGACCTAACCTTCACGTAAAACCGAATGTCAAGTCCTTGATTTAGCCTTTAATAATATAGAACGCTAGAAAATTACGTTAAATTACAGTTCACAGTTCTTGTTTGTAATTGCATTACATTTAAAATGTGAGACTTTGGTTCAACGTACTATTAACAACAGTGGGGTCCCCAAAACTTATATTTGAATTTTAACATTCAGAACAATTACAAAAAATTCGATATTAGTAGTAGAAATAATTACGAAATACAAAAAACTTTCTACTAGGAAATACCAGACTCATTTTCGAGTAATAACAGCCAATATCTATGTGGTGATGAGGATGACGTTGTTTTTGGATGACTACAACTATGTAGATATTAAAGATCACCTTAATTGCAGACGACCGTATTCTATAATTTATTACAATTACGAGTAGAATCAGGGCGAGGAGGGCTTTGCTGGGAGTAAATCTTTGCTTTTTATAGAATAATGGTGACAAACAAGCACTTAGTCCACCTGATGGTAAGTGTATGTTGTGGCCCATAGATATCTACATTTTTATCCTCAATTAAGAATTAGAATGCAGATGCATTGTCACCACTGAAGACTAAGATGGAATGCCTTGTTTCGTAAAAAAGGGTCTCCAGTTCTCTACACTAAACACAGCGGCATTAAACTGCTATTTTACACTGGTATTCTGCGAAGACGTGGTCCTATACCAGTCGAACCAACCCATTCGTGCTAGAACCATAATATAGCTGCAGCATGGCTCTACCACGTTGATATCTGAAGTGATGGAATATGTAATGATATCTCATCTGGAGTAGACTCGACTAGAGTAACCGACAATTCAATGGATCATTATATTGAAGAGGCCATAGGCTAGCCAAGAGTTCCAAGAACTGACAAACTGGTAAAATTCATTGAACTGGTAATCGGAGAGTAGGGCATAGGTCCTTACAATAGAGTAAGACATGCCGCAAGTCGATAGATGCAGGTGGCTCGGACCATATGCTATTTTGTGGCATTCCTTGGGGTATGTCTACATTAAGCAGTAAATTACTATATTAACAGTGAACTGTAATGATGATGATACCTGGTATACTTCAAAACCTGAAAACTAAGTTGTACAACCAGTGCGTGTTGCCAGTGACGATATATGGAACTGAGACGTGGTCCTTCACTGCTGGCCGTATGAGGACACTCAAAGTTGCTCAGCAAGATATGGAGAGTGCTATGCTCGGAATTTCTCTGCGTGATAAACTTAGAAATGAGGATATCTGCAGTAGAACCAGAGTGACCGACATAGCCCAACAGATTAGTAAGCTGAAGTGGCAATGGGCCGGCCATACTCGAAGAACCAACAACCGTTGGGGAAAAAAGGTTCTCGAGTGGCAGCCTCGTACTGGTAGACGAAGTGTATGGCGACCCCCCACTAGATGGAGTGACGACCTGGTAAGACATGGAGGAAGTCGATGGATGCAAGCGGCTCAGGACCGTGCTTTGTGGCATACCTTCGGGGAGGCCTATGTTCAGCAGTGGACTTGTGAAGGGCTGTAATGATGATGACGATAATAGAGGAAAGAGGAAATATTTAATAATAACGCAATTATATTTTCAACCGATTTCAAAAACAGGAGGAGGTTCTCAATTCGACTGTGTTTTTATGTGTTACCTAAGAACCATTTTCTAGGTGAACCGATTTTGATGATTGTTTTTTATTTTTATTTGAAAGCTAGTGCTTCTCATGTGGTTCCATATAAATCTGATCAAGATCTGACCAGTAGTTTTTGAGTTATCCTTAATAATGCATATTAAATTGCCTTCAACTACATTGATAGAATCAGGTGTTACTTTGCGGAAATCCATTATAATATAATAATTCAGGTAAGACACATCATTGTATTTAGTTAGCGGAAGGTATGCAATTTAATTAATATCTTTATTCGACTACATCAATGGTTCTCATCTTAATACATATAAATTATGTGTCACATTGTTTGTCTGCGATGGACTCCTAAACAATTTACCCAATTTTAATCAAACTTGCACACCGTGTGCAGTTTGCTAGATGTCTCATTTGAAAGGTCAACGCTGAAATAAAAGGAATACCTCACAGGATTATGGATTCATTAGAATCTTGGTATAAAATAATTTAAAATTAAGTAAAACGCAAACTTTAAATCGTAACGTTTTTGGAATGCTTGCAAAAATCATCCAGTTATTCGCTAACACATTTGTGGTAGTAAAGAAATTTAAAAAACGATTGCAAGTGTACATTAAAAGTGACGAATTTATTTAGGATATAAAATTACATCTACTCAATAATGAAATTAGTGTTGGTAATTGCCTGGACATATTGCATAATTTATAAATTACGCAATAATATTATTTAAAACGAGGAAGTTTAATTTGGTTTAAATGGAATATTTAATACATAATACATGGACTTTAACAGGCTGTGAGAGTAACAGTAACGCTAATACGTAATATGTTTTTGATTAAGTTTGTGGTTATTAAAATTAATTAATAATTAGAGTTATGTGTTGAACTGTACATGGGGTTAAAATTTGGAAGGAGAAATAAAAGTGTATTCCGATTATCCATCCCGTCTGGGGTGGATAGACAAACACATGTTTTCGAATATCCACCCCAGGCTGGATAAACTAAATAACTCCAATGAAACATAAGCACTCTAATTTAGGTAGCACATTACAGCCAATCAGCAATAGGCTAATCTTTCTACCTAAATGTTAAATATTAGTGATAAACCATCAATGCTCTAGAAGAAGACTTTATTTTACCAACAGCACAACAAGTTTCTTCAAAAGCAATTTTTGTATACAACCAACAAACCCAACAAACAAACAAACAGACAATAAAATCAAACATTTTAAGTAGAGAAAATATCCATCACTAACTAAAATGGACAATGTCACCAGAGACAGAAACACAATTGAAAGATGCCATATTGGTTTAAAACGAAGAATAAGCCTGTTTTGCAGATCATTTAATTTGAAATTGCTGCACCTGCCTTGTATTTATGGCAGATTTCATTAGCTTTGTCATTTCAAATATAGTAAAAATACTAAAATCTACTTAAACACAATAGAAAGGCCATTATGAATTTAGATTTTATGGTATTTAAATATGAGAAAATCAATTTAAAAAACAAAGGAAGTTTATACAGTTTTTAATTAGACAATTTCTTCACTTCCACAACTAAAAAATGTTATTTTTCATGAAATGTGTTGTGGATTGTATAACATATTAATGACCCTACGTAAAAAAAAGGTATAATACCTATTTTAACGCACCTTTTTTGGAGGTTTTGTTATATACAGTTTTTTTCTCATTTCCAATATTCACATAGTGAACAACAATGAAACTTATTTCTTAAACAAATACAGTAACTTTTCAAGCAGACCTCTTTGCAATATTTAAGCGAATCACTTCCTACAGACAAATGTGGAATGTTAGTCATCTACTGTAAAAAACTGTCCTCTTTTGCTCCTATGCTCAGAAGATAAGATAGAGGCAGATCTATGAATTTATGGTGATGTCAATTACCTGGCAGAGTTCCATTATCTAATGTTTAATCCATTTTAATCTCAAAAAAGCGGTCACTATCAAGTATGTTAATAACTTGCATACTATCATTATGTACCTTTTGCTATAGATATACATATATGATGTTTATTTATTGATAATAATATGTGGGATGTGTTGAGCTACTTCATGTTCAAGCCTTGACTAGCAACATAGGTAGACTAAACATTAAACAAACTACTTGAAAACAAAATAACTCATGTTCAAATACAAAAATGAAAAATATGCATAAACCAAAAAGGGTGTACACAAGACATTGTAGGGTGCACATTGCAGAAACTGTGCTAGCTACAATAGAAATTAATAACAGATCTTACAAAATTACGATTTTCGTGGGGCTCCTCCTGCAAGATAATGGGGGAGTTTATCAGAGGGTCCCGGTCATCTCCAGGGCGGCCCTCCGATGCTCCCCCTTCTGATCGGTTACGGCAGGCATCACATCTCCTCATTTCTATGCATACTTCTTAACTTCGGACTGTAGTTTTGAATTCTTTAGTATGCAAATAACACATTAAAGTTTAATGTGTTTATATTTATAATAACAACAAAAGATATAATTAAATAAATTCACTTCACAAAAATATAATTTAATTCAAAAATCTGTTTATGTGAAATAAAATCTTAAAAGTATCTAAATTAAAAATGCTAATAATAATACAATACCTCATTATCACTGTCTATTAAATGTTCTTCCATAATACAGAATTATTTTGTACACACTATATGAGTCTGAACGAATAACTAACTACACCCATTTGAAGTCTTAGGATATTATGTTTACTAAAAACGATAAAAGTACTCTGAATCTATATTCTATCAGGCACAAAGAAATATGTATTGTATGCAAATTAAATCTTCGATCAGTAGCGAAAATAATTACTGTTTAACAATAATAACAAACGCAAATACCAGAGCATTTAAGAATCAATGAAAACTTTAAGGATAAAGATATAAAAAATTAAGTCTACTCACAACTGTTTGTTGGCCTTAGTAAAATGAAAAAAAAAATCCATAGACTAGTCTTCTACTCAATTAACTAGCTCCATTTTCGATAGAGCATGAATGAATCAGTAAAAAAATGTTTGATTTCCACTGAAATTTAGGATACGTTGAAAATATAAAAATTAAAATGAACACAATCACAATGTGCTTACTTTTGTGCTGACAAGAGTGACATTTTTTAATTTTTATTGCATCGCTTCTATACGCTCCGCACATTTCGGCTTAATTTGTACAGATATACAAATACGATCATATTTTGACGTCTTCGAAATTATAGAATATAACTTTTATTTTCATTCGTTTACTTTAGAAGAAAATTAAAACTGCAACCAACTCCAACCGTATACATATTTATTTAGCAATAAGTGTAAAATAAATAATTAGATTGGTAAATGTTCTTTATGACAGTTGTAATTTTCAGTAGGCTGTATGGCTTTGGAAATCAATTAACCACAAAATTAAAAATAATAAATGTCTAGTGCTAGTGTCTACACGTCTGTCTACGCTACACGTCATCTCTGTAGTTCATTGATAGTGTGTTGTCAAATATTTTGAAATTGGGAATCTTGTGGAAATTCCAATAAGTATATTTATTATAAAATGGTAATTTCATTAATTGAGTTATATATAGTGTAAATTCAATAAATGAATAAATATCCATTCAAAACTTAGCAGTTAAAAATTACAACAATATGCACATGTCTTCGGCACTTGTCTTTCGATTTAAATGAATGTTTTCAATTACTTTCAGGTGCTTATAGCAGCTACAGTTTGTACAAAATCGGGGAAAGGTAATATGAAAGATGTCACTTTAGTATTTCTGTAATTGCTTATAAAGTGTGTAATATTTACTTTTCGATTACAGCCCTAGTCTCTCGACAATTTGTCGAAATGACAAAAGCACGTATAGAAGGTTTACTAGCTGCGTTTCCAAAACTAATGACCGGAGGCCGACAGCACACATTTGTAGAAACTGAGTCTGTTAGGTATAATTTTCTTTTCACCTAAAAAATTAGGCACCTACCTATATAAGAATTTTTCTTCTAACTATTTCATCATTTATTATATTTTCAGATATGTATACCAACCTCTGGATAAGCTGTACATGTTGCTTATCACAACTAAAGCTAGTAACATTCTGGAAGACTTGGAAACTTTAAGACTTTTTAGTAGAGTTGTGAGTAAAATTTTGTTTGTTGAAGTTATTTCTTTTCATCATATTTTTCACAATTTTATAAGCAAAAAGGTAAATGGTAGTTTTTAAATTTGCATGTTTTTTTACATGACATAGCCACTCTCTGATATGTTTGCAGTAGGAACAGGACAGCGTGACTGTCATAACTTCTGGTGTCTTTAATTATCAATGATTTAGTAATTTATGTATGATGGCAGAATCAGAATCTTATGGTATAAAAACAGTTAAAAATAAAATATCTGAATCATAATAGCACTACAAAAAAACTTTTTAGGTTTCCGTAGTCAACTAGGAACCCTTATAGTTTCGCCATGTCTGTCTGTCCGTCTGTCCGTCCTCGCTTAATCTCTGTGACCGTTAGCACTAGAAAGCTGAAATTTGGTACCAATATGTGTATCAATCACACCAACAAAGTGGTAAAATAAAAATTGGGAAAAAATGTTTTATTAGGGTAGCACCCCTATATGTAAAGTGGGAAGTGATTTTTTTTTAATTTCAATCCTAACGTGTGATATATTGTTGGAAAGGTATTTAAAAATGAATAGGGGTTTACTAAAATCATTTTTTGATAATGTCAATAATTTCGGAAATAATCGCTCCAAAAGTAAAAAACAATGTGTCCCCCCCCCCCCATCTAACTTTTGAACCGTAAGTTTAGAAAATATGAAAAAAATCTGAAAAGTAGAACTTTATAAGGACTTTCTAGGAAAATCATTTTGAACTTGGATGGAAACAACAGTCAGTACCCACTACCGGGAGCAGTTGCAGGAGCGCAGAACGCTGCTGGTGTGCGAACATAATGGACACCCACCTATAAACTCGTAAGTGGGAACACTTATTGTGACAGACGAGAAACTACGGAACCCTACACTGAGCGTGGCCCGACACGCTCTTGGCTGGTTTTTTATCATTAATTTGATTGTTAGTTATTGTTGTCTATTGTAATGCAACATATGAAACACATAAAATATGTTTGTGGAATGAAGGTCGAACTATATAATTTTCATTATTTTATATACTTACAAAATTACTTCTTGATTATATGCTCAAAATGATTTTACCACCCTCACATATTTTGAGATCATTTAATAATAATAATGAGTTTATTTATTAAGGCATCAACCTACTTATATCTAGTACATTTTGCATCTAAGACAATTTTTTTAAAGAATATTAATAAAGCTATAAACATTACTGATATTCCCCTTAACCACTTGTGGTCTTCCACAATCTTTTTGAGTTCGCGGTCCGCGCCCTACTATTAGGCTACTGTTGCTTCAGTAAATTTTTTTTTTTTTGCGCTCGAAGCAAATATGGGCAACCCTCCGGAAAGCGGGGGAGGGAGGTTGAGAATGCTCATAGCATACCACGCAGCCGGCTGCGTGGTTATGTGGTGACTCTTACCCACTAAACTCAACCTTTTAGGAATTGGCTTAACGATCTGACTAGAGATCTCTAAGCCGTATACGAACGCGACCCTCCTTGGCAGAAAGGAGGGCGCAGCTTCAGTTAACCAACAATGAATCACAAGTATTATATACACATAAAAAAAATAAACTCTATTATGAGTTAAAATATAGTACCTAAAATAATTGTTCATAATCTATAGTGTCTGATGCATTTTCTGCCAGTGTTTATAAAATAAAGGAGACACCTGAGCTATGATCTTAACTAATTCGTTTGATGAGTTACGTACAGTTTCCCAGAAAATGGCTGTTCTACAACATAACAGTGCGTAAAAGTCTGGATCAGCAGTCTCTGTGATTTGTCTTGTCTTACCTCAAAAAAGACAAATTGCATTCAAAATCAGGCATGTTCATTTGTCCCCCCAAAAATCACTTATTTTTGATTCAATTCAGTAGAATCAATTCTTGACAAGTAGTGGAGTTAAAAATGTTGTACAACCAACTTCAATATAAATAAAACTAGCTTGCCAGGCAGATGTTGTTCTGCCCTTTTCGACAACCCTTTGTCATGTCCAATTAAAAATCCTTAAATTCGTAAAAAATATTGTGGCTCACTCATGGGCAAAAAAACTATCCTATCTCTCAAGTTGGGCCAAACTGCGCACGGTGTGCAAATTTGATTAAAATCAGTTAAGTAGTTTAGGAGTCCATCGCGGACAAACAATGTGACATGTAATTTATATATATTAAGACTAGCTTGCCAGGCAGACATTGTTCTGCCCTTTTCGATGACCCTTTGTCATGTTCTATTAAAAATCTTAAATTTGCAAAAAAAAGTTGTGGGTCACTCATGGGCAAAAAAATTATCCTATCTCTCAAGTTGGACCAAACTGCACATGGTGTGCAAATTTAATTAAAATCGGTTGAGTAGTTTAGGGAGTCCATCGCGGACAAACAATGTGACACGTAATTTATATATATATATATATATATATATTTGCTACATAAACAAACAGATAATTAATTTAATAATCCAATCATCCGCCTCGGTCTAAAACAAATCTAGCGGCGGCGTTGCATTCATATAACAACACAATTTTAATTGCTGTAAAGCAAATGGTGCAAAACAATATATATTAAGATGAGAATATCAATGTTGTCGAAGTCAATTAAATATGCGTTATTGAGGATAACTCAAACACTACTGGTCATATCTTGATAAAATTTATATGGTGCCACATGAGAAGCTTCAAATTTCAATTACAAAATTGGTTCACCTAGAAAGAAGTTTTGAGATAACTTACATTTGAAAAACATACAATTGAATTGAATAACTCTTCTGTTTTTTGAAGTCAATAAAATAGAGCTAGGCAAGACGAATTTTCGATGAATCAATTTGTAAGTAAATTTTTTAAACATTCTGACTAGTGAATAAAAGTCGAATAGCAAATTCGTATATGTATGGTACACTAAGATATGAACAAAACTATCAACTTTTATATGCATAGCAAATTATAATTAACAATGATAATATATCTATAATATATATATAGATAATAATCTGTAATAATCTTTTATTTATAAATAATATAAATGTAAATAATGTGGAATATATTATTATATAATTTCATACACAATATATATTTTATTCATTATAAGATTATAACTTTAAATAATTGTTTTAAATAAAGATTGCTCTTTATAATTTTCTACTTCTATAAATATGATTGATTGTGTTGCAATTATTAATACACTAAGCACTAAGCATTTACAAAGCCCGAATGCAGCCAAATAACCATTTTTAGTAAGGTACTAAAAAAGAAACAAGTATTAGATTTTTAGATATTATGTAGTGTGAATGTTTGCAATTCATTCAATGGCTATCACACATTTTGAATAAAGATGTACTTGAACGTAGCATAGTAATAGTTTAGTGGAATATCCACTACCTCATCAGCCTGTAGGTTTCGTAAGAGGCAGCAGAGGAAGATCAACCAGGTGGCAGCAGCATCTTACTAATAATAACAAAGAGAAATATGCTCAGTAATCTGATAAATACAAAATATCTCAGTTAGCGAGTGGTAAAATTAAACATTTTAAGCAACCAACTTCAATATAAATAAATTGAGAACATCATCAATGTAGTCAAAGTCAATTAAATTTGCATTATTAAGGATAATTTAAAAACTACTGATCTTGATCAAATTTATATGGGACCACATGAGAAGCATCAGCTTTCAAATAAAAAAAGTATCACCAAAATCAGTTCACCTAGAAAAAAGTTCTGAGGTAATAAATACACTTAATAAAAATACAGTCAAATTGAGTACCTCGTCCCTTTTTTGAAATCGGTTAAAAAGGCTAAAAATTAAATTTAAAATGTTATAGTATTCACTCCTATTTCTGATGCTGATAGAAATGACATTGACATAGTTCAAAGGCCGAGCATCTTTTACTGCATGCAAACCAAAGTAAGGTTGTGTTCAACTCCTGAAGCTGACACACTACTTAGCAAAAGTTTGGCTCTTATTATTAAGCCTTAAAAAGTTTATAAATTTTTCTACAGGTGCCAGAGTACTGCACGCAACTAACCGAGACCGAGGTGCTGAATCAAG